ACACACTAGCTGCGCCCCTCCCCCCCCCTCAGCAGACCAGGCTTTTGTTGTGGACCCTAGGGCCGAGCAGCTGGGGCGCTGCCGGTTGGCCTCTTAAGGGGGGGTAGTCTTATACGGCGAGTATAGGCGAAAACCTATGTTTTAACTAGAAAATTAGGGGGTCGTCTTATACGCCCAGTCGCCTTATACGCCGGAAAATACGGTAAATAAAAAGGGCTAGATCGTCAGTGGCTATAAATCAACATCATTACATTGAATATCAGAAAGGCAATATCAATTTATATTAGCAGAGGCTCTGGTTTGACTTTTTAATGTCTCTGGTTTTCTTTTAATTATTATTACTATTATTATTTTGCCACATATCTGACAGTTTGAGGTTTTGTTTTTGTTTGTTGTTCTTTCTGCATCCTTGAGCACAGAGCACCTGCCTGTCTGTATTTCTGGCATATAAATCATTTCCTGTATGCTCATTCCCTACTAGCTACAAACAATGTATGAGTAAAAAGATCAAAATATTCACTGTTAGTGATGTCAAAAAGGAGGGTTTTTTTTTTTAAATCACTGAATATTCTTTTTTTTTAAAAGTTATGGAAGAGTTATACAGAGGAGATGGTGAAAACCACCGCTTGAGTCATTAAAACTTGGACAGGACTAAGCATTATAAAACACACTGTACAAAACAATCCTGAGAATTACACTGTTAATGAGGTTTTGGCTACTTCCAAATGTTACAGAGTAATGGAAGGAAAAAGCCATTTGCTAGTAGTTTTCTTCCTTTTCATCATTGTAAATTATTATATGTACAAAAGAGTTGGTAGGAAACAACAGTTTTGCACGGGTTCTTTGTTTTGTTTTGTTTTTTAAAGATTTATTTCTCTATAGAGATTAAGGTCACATACGCATTTATAACACATTCAGCTGTTGTGCTAATAATCGTCTATAATACACACTGCTTAGGTCTGTAATAGTGTGATAACATTTATAAATCATTAACATTTATAAATTATTAATAAAGAAATACATTAAAATAGAGTATAAAACTTGATGCAGATGATATTTTTGTGCATCCAGCCTGAAAAATAGGTATTCTGAGTGCTCTGAAAGAAGGAATGAAAGTTGCATAGGCTCTCTGTGTCCTCTTAAGCCCATTCATAGCCTTTGCTCAAATGCTACAATATTGTCACTACAAAAAATATAAGCAAACAAAAAATTATTCATGATTCTACAAAATCAAGTGCAAGATTTGTCAGTACCACAAAACCCCATCAATTCCCATGGTTTATTTGTTTTCTTACAATGAAGGCTACAACCAGTTTTTAAGGTTCCCATTCCCAGCCCCCACTTATCACACATCCATATTATTGCCTAGTCAAGAAAATCTTTAAGAACAGCATGAGCATCTGAGCTTGAAAAGTGTATATTCCAAGGAAGGGGTCACATTCTCCACTGAAGCAGCTTTTAGCTTCTTATAAAACTCCACGGCAACTCTCATGTGTCTTGTGGTTATTGTCAAACTGCTACCATGATATGCTATGAGAACGTCTGCTGATGACAGATGTAGGTTTGTCAGATGGTTTCCACAAAAATACTGGACACACTTGACATTACATCACAATCTACATTACATCTTATTTAGAAAATACCAGACATTTATATTTTCTCAATTTGTTTCCCGAACAGAAAGCTCAAATACTGGACTGTCCGGTTCAAAACCGGGACACCTAGCAACCCTAGACAGATGCCCTATGCTTTCTGGTCCTTCCAATAATGTTTAGCACTGGATCATTGCAAAGCTCATGTGTTGCTTTATATTTAAAAAGCATGTTCAAATGGGTGCTGCCTTCTGCTGCCCTGGCTGCCTCCCTGTAGCCCTAGAAGCCTCAGGGCCTTGCTTCAGGCCCTGCAGCCCTAATTGGTCATCTCTGCCTCAACTGCT